AATTTCTTTTTTATAAAAAATTCTAGCCATGTTGTTGCCATTCTTACCACTTCACTCTCAGGAATTTGCATAAAACATCTCGATCTCATTTGTTTATATTTGTTCAAATAATCATCTATATTTTCATTATGGTACCTTTTTACATTCATCAGGTCTATTAAACCAACTTCCATTTCTCCTCTAAATAATTGTTCATGAAAACTCCTTTCTAATTATGCATAATTAAATATCAAATTAGGAGGTGTTAGGTATTTCCAAGGGGGCTAACAACAGGAAAATTCTCACAAATGGGTCGTGAACCAACCATATAAGAGAATATGACACCACCTTCAACCTTAAGGCATTAGGTTATGGGTCTTTCTCACTTATAAGTTACTCAACTTTCCCATTTCTATCCAATGTGGGATGTCAACTCACACTTGAATTCTCAATAATCTCCCCCTCAAGTGTGATTCCCTTTTTCATTGGTACACCTCCCCCTTGAGTGGAAGAATTTAGTGACCTTACTTGTACCGTTCAACTCAATGGGGGTTGCTTGCTTGAAACTCTATTGGGAATACTTTTGATACAAGGACCTATCACCTGCATACTCAACTGAGTCGGTCACCGGATGAACCATCGACTCTGATACCACTGTTAGGAATCAGAGTAGCTACATAAGAACTCACAACTAAAATTAAAGATGAGAAAAAAAAGAAACAAAACTAACAATAGGAAATAATAGAATTTTACTACCGAAAGAAATTACAATACCCTCTTTAAATGTAAGGAGAAAATAATAATAATTTTTTCTCTCAGAAATAAGAGAACTCAACTACTATGCAATGCACTAGTAGAAAGTAGAATGAAGAAATTTAGGGTGATTTACAAGGTAAACATGGTGATCCTTTTATAACAGAAAAAGTAAGCACCAATATATAATTTCCCTGATGTGGGACTTGTTTTCTCACATTCTCACAATCTCCCACTTGAAGATTTTGATTAGATTAATCAAATTTTCACTATACATCATTACTACCTTCCATATTTTTATTGCAATAGATCTTCAGTAGAATCGCCTCTATGTAAACTTGTCACTGCTAACTGACTATCATAACATCTTCTATGAAATACGAGGTAGGATTTCTTACAATGTGCAAGACACTCTAATTGTCACAATAGACAACAATATGTTGTTGTTTATGCCCGAGTTCCTCCATTATCCTCTTAATCCAAATAACTTCCTTATATGTCTGGGTAGCTGTCATGTACTTAACTTCAATGATAGACAGAGCTACAACATCCTATAACTTGGATAATCAATTATTGTCTCTCCAACAAAGATAAATTCATCAAGATCACCTGTAAAACCTGAAGAAATATAGCATTTGACAACTAGTTTTGATCGTTCAAAACATAATACAACATCCAAGGTTTCTTTGATAAGAATTCTCTTGATAATGCTCATGTTCTCCACCACAATGTTTCATTAATCTATTAACCACTCTCACTGCTTGTGCAATGTCTGGTCTTATACCGATCATGATATTCATAAGACTTTCCACCGTTGATGCACAAAATCGGGAAAAGACGAAACAAAATATGGCTAATTATACAACTCCATTCCCACATCTGGTTGATCCCATTGTCCTATCACTTTATTATAATTATTTTGTTGGTAATTTCCATTATTATGATTATTTCTTCGTATGTTATCCCATACTTGTTGGATTTTATCTGCATCTTGACCTTTATTAATTGTTCTAACATCTCTCAACTGATTATGATTTCCTTACATATTTCGATTATTATTGTTTTGTCTTAGAGGTTCACCTTGATTATTTCTTACTTGCACATTATCATTGGCCAAATTATTATTTCTAGGATAGCAAGTGCATCTCCTATCATCGTCATTTGTTCAGCTAACCTTTGAAAAATATCGGTTGTGATCTGTATGAGAGGACTCAAGATGGTGGTCATTTGTTGAGACAATAGGTTAACCATTTTATTATTACTATCATCAATTTGTTGTCTCTTATTATGCCTAATGCACTGTTTGATATTCCTGTGTTTATATTCTTGAAGCCACCTTGATTTCTATTATTCTCCCTCTCATTTCCCAACCTAAATTGATTTTGACTTTGATCATTCATCCTACTAGAATTCGGGGTGGGTTGCCATGATAACATTCCCCATGGATACCTTTCTGCCATTATATTCCTTGATTATTTCTCTAAGCTAATGTACTCCCACTAGCATTATGCCTCCCAATACAATGGATCTATTCATTGTCACGTGTGGTCCGATATAAGTGCTACCTATAAGATTATTTATTGGTTGTATTATTGATGTTCCTTAGTTACTTTGACTACCAGTCCTATTCGGATCAATAATACCACCCTGAACATTTTTGCTCACATTATTCTAACCCTCATTGGTGTTGTTTGATACCACATCACAACTCAGTATAAAACTTTGTATGCTTTGACTTGTCATGACTATCTTACCACTCCTTAATCTCATATACTATTATTCTATAGAAAATCTAAAAAGAGTTTCACTAGGCATGCCAATTTTTTTATATTATAAATGATTCGTTGTTCAATTAAATAAATCTATATTCAAGTATGCAATGAATCATTTAACCACAATGTGGATTCTTTTAACTTTTACTTGCAAACACAAATTCTTAGGCTTATATGCAATCAACACCAATCATTCAATAATTAAGATATAATGTTTTTCAATTAAAGACCATTCACATATAATTTTGATTTTTTATATAATTTGAAACATTTAAAGTAAATTGCAAGAAAAATAAAAGTACAATTAAAGTAAATTGTTGAAAGTAAATGTGCGATAAAAGATAAATGTCGAAGAAAATAAGTTGCATAAAAATAAATTTAACTCATTACCAAGGATAAAACATGAATTGATAAAAGAAATCAACGAAGATGGTGATCCAAATTGCAAAGAACTCCATTGAAAAATGTTTGTCCCTTGTTTGTAGCAATTTGTTCAGAATGTAAGGTTCTTCGTACAGTTTGACAATAACCTCGTTTTACATTTATTTCACCCTATTTATATTTTTCTTCTGTAATAGCTAAAACACTTAAAAAAAATTAAATAATAAATTCAAATTAAGTCAAACAAAATACACTAAAATATAATAAAAATCCACGAACGATTTAGTTTTGCAACTGCTCCCCTTTTCTCAACTCGCTTTATCTGTCACATAACACCTACATGCAAGCATTTCACACAATGGGATAATAATTATTTTTGCATATCTCTCAATTACATAACTTCCTCACAATGTATTCTCCATGTTGATTTGTATCCTTGGATTTGATATATTCAATTCTTCAATCTTTCGCGTTTGACTAGTCACATCATATCAATTTATTTCTTCATTTATTTCTCAATTTTGTTTTCGATAATATATTCCTTCAAACATTTCTTAAATATTCGCAACTTATTTATTATATTAAGTTTATCATTTATTTTTTATTTATTTCTATCAATATTAATCTTCAACTGTCTATAGTTTCAACTATCAATACAATTATTTAATGATGTCCCGATTCATTCCCTATATAAAAAGTGTATCAATGAAAATTTATAATTCCCTATATAAAAGTGTGTCAATGAAAATTTATAAAGAAACTTTCAAGTTGGATTTATTGTGAAAAAAATATTATAACATAAATTTTGTACCATCTATACATTTTTAATGAATGTGTGTAGTATACATTTTTAATGAATGTGTGTAGTCATTATATATGTTATTACCATCTATATCTTCTATTTTTCATTGCCTTTTATCTTGTTTTTCGATTAAGATAATATTATCAATTTTTTGCATTTTTATGCTTTATTTTTCATTTAATTGTTTTTACTTTACTGAACTTAGTCTAGTTTACTCTTCTGTTATTTATTTTCAACTTATTTTATTAATTTTTACCATTTACATTTAATTTTCTAATTTTTGCTTTCAAAACTTGTTTTCCTTCAAATTTTAAAGGTTTTTATCATAAATTAAAAAAAGAACAAAAATAGCTAAGATTTAATAAAATCTTTATAATTAAAATTCTTAAAGTGAAATTCGTAAATATAAACTTAGATTCTTATAATAATAAATTAATTACTTATTAATTAAAATTTATAATTTTTTTAATACAAATTATAAAAATTAATAGCTTAAATAAAGAAAGAAAACTTACTATCTTTTTTGATTTATATGCTTTTTAGTTAAGATATTAAAAATAAAAACAACAAATCAGTGACTGTAAAAACTGTTCAAATCTTACATTTTTAAAAAATTTCTTGCCCAATTTTTAGCGGTTTATGACTAGCTTGAATTATTTTACGCCTTTTCTTACTCAAATTTTTACAAGAAATGTTTCTGATCGAACCTGTCAGATGGACGTGTCGGCAATGACTAAAAATAAAAATCGACCTGTTCACACTGGTTTTTGAAACAAATATTTTGAGCATCTCAGGCTTTGGATCAAGTTTAAAGACTCAGATCTTAGTGTCCTCAAAATACAGACATGTATTTCGGTGACAGAAAACAAGGGCTAAAAATACGCATCACTCATGACCTGCCAAACCAGCTACAGTAGTACCAGCTGCATGTTATTCATTTTCAAAAGCTCTCAGGAAGGAAGGTAATAATCGTGCAGTGCAGTGCACAGCAGACAACTAATGACATATGAGGGAGCAATTAATTCAAAAGTATGTCAACATATGAACAAGGAATGTTCCAAAATTTTTGTCGATCAATCTACAGATATAAGATTTTCGTGGCATAGAAAACCAGATATAAGATTTTCGTGGCATAGAAAACATGATATAAGATTTTCGTGGCATAGAAAACATGCAATTCTATTCGTACACAGCCAAGTTTAGCTCCACAACCGAAAAGAAAGAAACTCAAAGATGAGTATAAGAAATACAAATACCATGGTCATTCTGTACAAAGATTCAGGTTCATCCCACCAAATAAGGCAATACACATACTAAGACACGTAATCTCTTCCCGCCCATCTCTCCTCGTACTTGCCAAATGAGTAGGTAGGTGAAGGTATCCCAGTCAAGTGAAAGGGATCAGGTTCAATGCCATAATCTGTCAGTGGCCTATGCTCCAGAATATCATCATGACTTTTCACAAAATCCGGAATCTCAATCTCTCCTTTCTTTATATCTTCCCAGAGGTACTGAAGCCGGCTTACATACTTGATCTTCCAATATAATCTGTACCAAGAACAAAGACAAAAAAAAAAAAAAGATTAACTGTAAAAAGTGATAGTGGGTTAACCAATGTAACTGAATATCATAGCTACTGCAAAATAATTGCTATGGCCCTACTTACTCCTATATGCTTATCCTAACACAACCTTCATTGTACTCCTAAATAAAATGCTTTTGAATGTTCATTTGTGTTAAGAATCAACAGATGATGAGTTACCCTCCACTCAAGAAAAAGCGACCAACAGTAGCCATGACTAGCCGGGACCGAAGACCAGGGTGGATGAAATACACAGTTTTAAGCCTGTCCTTGAAATCAGTAGGAAGTTCCTCATAAATCCACCTTAAGATTGTTAAGCCAGGGGAATTATCCTCTTTCTGAACGGTGGTGTGCATGTAAACAATACAGAATGACTCATCCTGCAACTCACTGCAAATCTTGTGAGACACATACCTCTTTAGTCGTTCAGCACTCACCACAGTTGCTGCACAACATTTAAAAACACTTCAGTGTCAAATCAATGGAATAGAAGTAATCCAAATGTCAAAACAGCTTCTCCAAATGATAGAATATAAATTTCCATCACTAGAACTTTAATTTATTTTTTCTTGAAAGCAAGATACCCATAGCCAGAAACCATGAAACCAATCCCAAAGAGAGTACAAATTTAGGGGCAACTCCTCTGCCCACACTTGCTGCTCTATTCACACAGCTATGAATCAAACCCCTCTCATATGCTTAAAAGGCCTAAACTACTAGCACCTGCGCCAAACCTTGTGAGTACTAGAGCTTTAATTCAATTATTCACTTTCTTTCTCTTTTCCATTTTTCTTATTGTTTGAGACATATATTTTTTATCTTATCCTCCCGGACAGACCCACACAACCTCACGTACGAGAAAACATCAGAAATACACAAATAGAAGACCAAACTAATGATAGTGAATTTTACATATACAAGAAGAGCACATAAGAAGGTAAAATAATGGGGTTATCGCATAACAGATCATAAATTAGTAATTCAGTATAATTCAAGTGAAGAATCCAAGTGTTTTTCATAAAAAAATACAGAAACTAGTTTGAATAGCATCTAGAGGTGTATGTATATCAGAAGCAAAGAGGTAACACATCAAATCTCACTAGTGAGATAACAAACTGCTAGAACAGAAAGAGACCTAATATGCCAACATAACGCACATCTTAACCACCAAAGAAACCCTAAAAAACGAAAATGCATTAAATAATTAATTAAGTTGATCGAGGAAACAGTAAAATACCTGGGAAGTACTTGCCAACGATACGAAGAATGCGATTGGAGTTTTTGTCAGTGCCTTGGAGGCGGAGGAATTGCAACTGATCGAGATCGTTGAAATCTTCATCGGGGAAGAGATACTGAGAACAGTCGTGCCAATTATCTTCTTCTTGTTGCTGTTGATGTTCGAGGAAGGGTCGCGCATCGACGCCGAGATCCGACGCCAAAACAACCACCGAGAAATCTTCCGACGATTCAGCCATCGCCGCCCCAAATCTGTGTGGTTGGTTATTGGTTGTGTGTGTGCTGCTATGCAACTAACGGATTTTCTGTATACTCTTTGATGATATGATCAGCACTATTCATCGTCTATCCATCTATTATTATTATTATAATAATAATAATAATAATAATAATAATATAATAATAATAATATAATAATAATAATAATAATAATAAATATCTCAGTATTATATTATTAAAATGAATTATAAGATGAATGTTTATTGTAAAATGAGTATTAATTTATCATTTTCCTTTGATGTAAGATTGAAAACAAAATTTGAAAAAAAATACAAATAATTAATAATATATTTTTTTCATTTGATTTATACTGTATAAACACTGATTTACGTTTTATTTAAAGTAAAATTGTGTTTAAAATTTCCTATCAGCATTTTTAAATCCTTGCCAAAAATATATATTTACTTAGTTTTTTTATAGTGATATTGAAAGTGATGTAATAACATCATATTAAATAGACCAGTAGCAAAGAAAATTAGGTGAACCATATTAACAAGTGGAAACATATTTGTCAGCATCTGCATTTTTATCATTTTAAAATGTTTCTAAAATGAAACTGAGCAATTTTGTAAAATTATTTTAAAAATTATCCGGAGAAGTAAATTAATTTATGACGTGAGAAAATTACGTCGGCATCATTCACATTTGTGGGTTATGTTTGAGGTTTAGTTTTGAGTAAAGAAGTTGTGTAATTAGCAATTTATATTTTTATTTGAAGAATTTTAAAATAATTTAATTAAATTGCCACAAAAATTAATAATAAAATATGTTTTTTCGTGTAGATACTGATTTTATAAAATTTTAACTCAATTTATTTTTAAAATTAAGATTAGGGAGACCTAATTTAGTTTTTTTTTTTTTGAGCTAAATTTTTTAGCTCTAAGATCGCTTCGGGTTTGTGAGTTTTGTAATTTTGATCTCTATAAAAATTTAATTGCATACTTAATCCATCAACTTTTTATAATTAAATAAATTTACTTTTTTTCGTCTATCTGATGATTATAAAACTATTTACATAAAATAATAATATAATGTTTAATAATAAATATTAGAATTATTAGAACAAAAGATATGTTAACATTTTCTCGTAACAATTAGATACATTATGTTGGACTAAGATTACTTAATTTTATAAATTTAAAAGACTAAATGTGCTCTTAAATTTTTATACGGATGAAAATTTCACATTTTTAAAACTATGGGACAAAAAGTAAATTTAAGATAATTTTTTACGTTTAAAATATTAAAATATACTGATAGGTTGATAATTTAAATTTATATACAAGCCAATAAATTCAAATCTTTAAATATATTTATTCTTACCATAAATTTTAATTATCCAAAAAATATAAAAATATGCATGTTATATATATATATATATATATATATATATATATATATAATTAAAACACATAAAGTAATTTAAAATATAAATTCTCTCTATCTTAACAAATATATACATACATGCATCTATATTATATGTTTTCATGATAATATGATTGATTTTGTTTACTTTAGAGTTCTTGTCTCTCACATTTTCGTAGACACATCGGTAGGTTAAGAAATGAAGGTGTATATAAACTATCCTTAGCATTGATTCTTAAGTAATGTAGAACTCATGAGCCTAGCATAACATATGGGAATGAGTGGAGTGAGAGTCTTCTCTTGGTCCCATAGTGGGTGCCAAATATTTGGTCTAAGAAAGAAGAATGTTCTGGTCTTATGTCCACTAAGATAATATCGTTAGGGTCAATTCTCATGTATGAGGTATTATTTGTTTTGGAGCTCTACTCCGTCACAATGTTGTCCTTAAAAGGTGTATCGGTGGATAGAGAGAGGAGAGTGTATATAAACTATCCTTAGCCTCGACTCCTAAGTGATGTGGGATTCATGAGCATTTCAGAATATAGCCTATCAATAGATGACTAAGGGATATGAGAGTGGAGTGAGACTCGGTTCTCAGCCTCACTATGGGTGCCTATGTTCTGTCTAGGAATGAGGGGGTCCAGTCTCATGTCCGCTATGATCATCACATTTCAAAACAACATATAAAATAACAGGATAAGCTAATAATTCAATTTAAGCATGTAAAATTCAAATATGATATAAAATCACACAATTCAAATTCAAGTCTTCATATATGATACCCATACAAACTCACATTTATGTCACACGAATACAAGATGACTTCTTGAATACTAGATGTTGAATTAAATATAAAAAATTTTCACCAACCACATCATAAATTTCTAAGTGTTTAAGACAAAGATGCTTAGTTTGATATATACACTCATGTGTGTGACCAAGGTAAATTTTTAAATGATTTATTAAGACATTGTTCCTTTTTACACCATAGGCTACGTCACTACACTAGTACAAAATAGGCTTTTAACATCAGTTCTAGAACCGATGTAGAAAGTCTAATATTTTTATTTATTTATAACCCCTCTCTAATTACCCTATCTATTGAATTATTATCAGATTAAGAGAATTGTCACTGGCAAGATTCAAACCCAGTACCTTAGAGTCGAAGGTCGATACTCCAACCACTAAGCTACTAGGATTTTCTCGATAATAACTTATACATAAATTATATTTATATACAAATAAAAATGTATATCCATGTAAATATATAACTATAAAATATATAAATACAAATACAAATATATTTATATGTTGGATGTGAGGACGCGATCGATGATGAAAGTGTGTGTCGAGTGAATTTTCAAAATTTGATGTCAAATTTGTGAGCGAGTCACTTTATATGGATTATAACTTAATGACAAAATATAATCTTTATAATTTATTTATATAATGATATAAAATAATTTTTTTTCTTTATTTTATATCATTATATAAATTAATTATAAAGATTATATTCTATATTATTATAAATAAATTATAAAGATTATATTTTATTATTAAATTACAAATTCATATAAAGAGACTCGCTCACAAATTTGACATCAAATTTTGAAAACCCACTTGACACACACTTTCACTCTCGAGCGCGCTCTCACATCCAACATATAAATATATAAATATATTTGTATTTGTATTTATATATTTTATATTTTATATTTATATATTTTATATTTATATATTTACATGGATATACATTTTTATTTGTATATAAATATAATTTATTTATAAGTTATTATTAGAAAATCCTAGTAGTTTAGTGGTTAGAGTATTAGTATTTAATTCTAAGGTACTTGGTTCAAATCCTGCCAAGAATAATTCTTTTAATTTTATAAAAAGACTTTCTACATCGGTTCCTAACTAAACCGATGTTAAAAGTGATTTCTGTACTAGTGCTAGAAACATCTTTCAACTTTTAGCACTTGATCCTTTCGTTTATGTAATTCCAGTGATCAATAAAATCAGGATATATCCTCGAATACCAAATTAATATTCATACATACAACGTTATACAATAAAGATATCACTTCATAATTCTCATATTACAACATAATATTTTTCAAGACACATAATAATATTCTACTCACCTCATTTCATATTTATAACATGTATTTTAACTTCCTAATTCATATACATACTATTTCTCACATTATAATTTTCTTATTTGACCTCTTCCTACTCTTTTAATCATAACTTTTTTTAGACATCATTTTTTACTAATTCTTGTTTTATTATATTCCTCATTTCCAAAGCTTCAATTTGTATATATAGAATATTTAATTTGGAGTTAAAAACTATTTTTTATTATTTTTCGAACATGGCTGAGCAAATTTGAAATCACTGAACATATTTCAACTCCATTGAGCAAAATTTGAATGACTAAATGGATTATGGAGATACTTCTAGTGTTCATGTCTGTCAAAATTTTCAGAAAATTAAACCTTTAACATTGTCCCAAATCCGCTAGGTAGATTTAAAAGTACTAAGTGGAATTTGAGCGCATTGCCTTAAATCTTTTGAGCAAATATTAAATTCACTGGGCGGATTCATGACAATAACATACTGAATAATTTGTCCAACACATTATTTTGAATGTTCCAAATTAAATTAAATCTAAACACTACCCTTCAAATTGTAAATCAATCCCCCAAATCCAACCTAAATATATAATACATCCATATAAAATACTATCATTTTCAATCTCATATAAATCAATTGTACATCTACATTCAATATTTAATTTAGTCATCACAAATCAACACACATATGATCCAATTTCCTTTAATTCAAACAATGTAATGGGAAAAGAAAATTTTACTTTATTTAAAATTCTGATTGAACATAAATTATCTCTCATAATTTATAAACACTAAGATTTACTTGAATCTAGAAAAGGGTAAGGAAGTTAAAGAGAAGGTAGAGAAAGGAAGTTGTAGAGAGATGGTGATTTTGTAAGAATGAAATTTGAATGATTAAGTTTTTCTATCTATAATTATTTTTAACTTAACCAATAAAACCTCTCAAACTTACTATCACTATATCACTTCTACTCTTAACTCACTTAAATTGGGTCCTCACATAAATGATATATTTTTTAGTATTTAATAAGGTAAATCAAGTTGTGGAATATAATAAAGAATTCTACATTGATGAGACATGAGTAAAGATTAAATAAAATACTTGCAAAAGTAAGAGTATATTGGATGACACTCCATTCAACTTTATTATCTTCTTAATATATAGTTGTGCAAGTTTGAGTATGGAAATCCTTAGATCCATAGGCAAGGATAGTGAACACTCTTCGTCATTTGGTCAACAATCACCCATGTAATATTATGTTCCCTTAGTGATCATGATAAATGGGTAACAAAATTCATGACAATGTTATTCTATTTTCACTCAAACACATCTAACTAATACAATATTCATCTAGGTCTTTAATGTTCGACCTTGTTGTTTTGACAGGTCAAATATGTGGAAACATATTATGTTACCTCTTTTCTCATGTTGGGTCAATAGAAGGACTTATTTAAGTCTT